TGAAATCTCAAACTTCGTTTATTTATTTATTTATTTATTCATGCGTGCAGTTGACGCGCCTATAAAGAAACAAACAATAGAAAACATTGTGGTTAGTCAATGAGGACGGTAGCCCTATTATCTTCACGAAACTATTAAAAACTACGATATAAAAGGACTACTGCAAACCTATTCCCTTTCCTGCATTCAAAGAGATAGCAGCACGAGGGAAAATTAGCACTGCTGACCCTCTAGCGAGGAAGCTAAGGAAGACATCTCAAACTTCGGTGACTTTGAGTGTAACCAGGTACCTTACCTGCACCAGTCGGCAATGGTGCCCATAGCACTACTATAGGTGCAATGGGAAGCCTGCCTGAACTTCGGGACACGAGTATACCGACACCCTCGTGGAACAGGCAGGTCAGGTAAGGACCAGATGCCACTCGTGGATTTCAGCAGAGAGACGTTACTTCCAAAGCTTGTAAGTGGAGGTCACATACTTAGCAGACAGAAAAGTTTTCTGAGGTGTGTCCTTCTAGAAAGGAAGGGTTAAGCGAAGTGGCGGAATATGATTGATCGTGAGTATAAAAACTAATGCAGGGTCCCGACTCTCAATGGCGGATAGGGCTCCATGCATTTCACTGTTTCATATTCTGCTGTTTTCAAAATGTTTAATACACTTGCAATTCTTTGCATCCGTCGCAGGGGGTCGCGTAAGTTCGCAAAACTCGCGGAAATTCGCGAAATCGAGGAAAATCGGCAAAACCTGCGACGCATCGCAGACATATAGACCAAGCCTTGGGAGAGTGGTCTCACTGACCTCGCATGAGTCATCAAAACCGCCGACCACCGTGCCAACATGTGTCGGTATTGCCTCAAAAGCGAGTTTTTTATTGTTTCAAGGGAACACGGAAATCATGGGAGAAATAAGATGCACTTTGCTGGAAGACTCGAGAGCGCACAAGCGTTGAAAAATTCTTTAGGAAACAAATTTTTCAACATGTATCGTGTTTGAAATGCGACTTTTATCAGGTTAAGCAGCAGACTTACAGAAAGGTTTCATTCATATTTGAGCACAAGAGAAGGAAGTTCGGAAAATTGTGTAATTTTGTAACCAGGCTCTTTCCTATACGCTATGGAGGGCGCATTCAAGTCAGACAGTTAGATAAGAGATGCAGAGAGAGAGAGAAAAGCATCGGAGACGAGTGAGTACGAATAGCGACTAGCGACTTTTATGTCTGACGTCAGGATCCCGGGGCCTGTCTGCCTTTCCAGCGCAAAGGTTTCCCCTCATTTATCTCATATTTAGTCGTGGCCTTGATATTGTAGCGCATTTAGTTTATCCGTTTAAATATCTGAGGCCGACGTCATACTTTGGCGATTTCGAGTTAGGCGACGCAGTGCGAAATCAACATGCAGTGGTAAATAAAAACTCAGAAGGAACCTGATAAAATAAGCCACAAAATGGACTTATGGAAAGCTTCACGCGTTTTCGCTGCCCTCAGAACGCAGATTCATTGAGGTGAACGGATCTGAAACTAAATCCAAATGGTTATCACATAATGTTAAACAGATTCTTCTAAGGTAGAACACGAATCACATTCCAAATTAGTGGAAGCAACTCTAGCGCAATAAGACCAGCGTTTCGACGCTTGAGGGGTTGGAAATACCTCCGTCTGAATGAGGACTAGTACCATGACCAAGCCACATGTCGATGAATTTGTATGAAACTACCCAACCCCCTACACACACACGATCAACACCTCCCCAATGAGGGATTCCGCAACACACCTCCGCCTTCAGACCATAGACTTATGTGATACTTTCGAAGTAGAAGGTTTCGAAAATCATGTGAAATTCTCAAACTTTCGATAACCGCCTTTAAAAAATCTTCACAAAACCCTTCTGCTCTAATTGTACTTCGTTCCCCTCCAGAAGTGAGCCGCCAGTTTCTTCAACTTCCACCACCTCTTTTGGAGAGCCAAATGCAACTCTCGGCCGAATTCTCGACGTCGGCTTAACATGGTGATTAATGCGAAGGCACTATCAATCCAGCTGTTGGAAAGGATTCCTGAGAAGTCGCACTTCTATACAATTACACTAATGAGATATCAATCGTCAAAGAACAATGGTTAAGTGAATAGAAATTAAGACCCCAGCTACTTTTGGTAATGATTGGGCTACCAATTATAATTGACTTTTGAGGGGATAGTAGCAGTGTAGATAAAAGAGCCACATTCGAGTCAGTTCCATTTCTGGGGGGGGGGGAGCTGG